CCTTATTGATGAGGTAGTGAAATGATGAGTTACACATTTCCTGAAGTATTGTAGCACTCTGTGAAATCTTCAGTGATGAAATCATGGAAGAGATCATGCCCTCTATGCTAACCTTATACTCTTTGGGGGAATGTATACCGAGGGACCTCGGAAAGGAGAAAAACTCCTGCACAAAGATGTTTAGCACCACAGTACATATTAACTCTAAAACCTGGAAACAGCTCATACTTCAAATTTCAAGTATTTGGAAAAAGCTATAAAAGTGTTAAAATAACATGGTAGACTATATATGTGCACATGTATATACACACAAATTTATATGCATGCACAGATATATATCTATATGAGAGAAACCATTGTGAAGAAGTTTGTGGGAACATAGAAATAAGTAAATGAGGTAAAAAGTTTAAAGGATGTGTATATATATATATATATATATATATACCCTCAGAGCCACACTGTAAAATTATTTCTTTATGGCAGTATTTTGAGGACCTTAAAGGTGGAAATCATTCTTCAGGGCAAAAGTTATTTAATTTAATTGTGCAAAAGTGATCTAATAAAGCTTGGTAAACCATGGAAGTTTAGAATGGCATCTAGCATATGGGTTCAGGAACTGCATTTAAACAAAACTTCTCAGGTCCAGCTAAAATAGGCTACCTGTGGAAAACACTTTGGTACACATTTTAGTATGCTGCATGTGGGGAATATTTCTAGTTCACTTTTGTGTCCTTACTCCTACATATGCACAATAAAATATTAAACAGTACATTTTTCAAGCATTCAGTAGGCTCATCTTATTAATAATAAATGGGTCCAAAGATATACAGTTGAGAGGCTTATAAATTCCATGAATATATTTGTAATTTCCCCCATATATGGAAACGCTTTAAGCAGAGGACCAAGTCAGCTGAGAGGCAGGCCTCTGGGCAGCAAGCTGGGCTCAGTCAATAGCAGAACATTCTGTCCCTACCACCCACCATTCAAACCCCTCACCAGCAAAATCCAAGTGTCCCAGAACATTGGCCACCCTACCTAGCCTTTAGCAGCAATTAATATGTGGCCTCTCCTTTCTCAACAAGTTGTCTTCCCTTGGATTCCACGACAACACCCCTTCCTGGCTGTCCTCCTACTATCCTGGAGTAGGATAGGTTCCATCTGCTGTTCTTCCTGACCTGTCTTTCAGTTCCTGGTCCTCTTCTCATTTCTACCTACACTTCCTTCCTTAGTGATCTCATCTCACAGTTTTAAATACCACATGAATGATGAAAAGTCGCCCACTTGGACCACTCCCCTAAACACTAGCTTCTATGTTGCACCACTTATTTAAAACTCAGTTTGATTGTCTAATAGACTTCTCAGACTCAACATATCCAAAAATAAACTGATTTTTTTGTCCCAAAATCTCATTCCCCAGCAGACTTTCCCATCTTGGTTAATGAAAACTTCAGTCTTGCAGTTGCTCAGTCCAAAAACTCTGGTGTCATCCTGGACTCTTCTTTCTCTCTCATGTCCTATATCTAATGCTAGTAAAATCCTGCCAGTTCTACCTTCAAAGTGAAACTAGAACCAGAACCCTTCCATGTCTTTACAGCTGCACTCCTGCCATGCTGGTCTGAGCTTTCAAATCTCTCTCTGGATGACTGCCCCCTTCTTCTAATCTTGCTCCCATCCCTCAAGGCTACAATCACCACGGCAGTCAGTTAAAGTAGTCCTTTCAAAATCTAAATCAGGCAGGCCAGGCATGGTGGCTGCACTCCTGTAATCCCAAACATTTGGAAGGCTGAGGAGGAGGTTTGCAGGTTTGAGGTTGGCCTCAGCGACTTAGTGAAATAAGGGATAAAGGTATAGTTCAATGGTAGAACATCCCTGAATTCGCAGTACCACCCCCCAAAAAAAACCTGTCAGATCATGGAATGCTTCCACTCCTTGATAGCTTTCACTGACTCAGAGTAGAAGCAAAAGCCTATTCACTGGCATAGAAGCTATCATGATCTGGCTCCTGCTACCTCTTTGACTATTTCTATTCTCCCTCTCATCACTCCAATTCAGCCAAGCTGGCTCTCAAGTATCCCTCAAAATATGTCATTCTTCAGCTTTCAGATCTTTGAAATCACTGCTTCTGTTTTTTTGGAACGACTTTCCAGAAAAAGTCATTCATATGTGTCCACATGGTATCCCCAACACCTACTACATTCTTGGCTTGCATGTCTTTACAAATATGTTCACGGAATTTACATGCCTCACAATAGGCAATAGTGCACCATGTTAGAACTGTATCAAGCCACACTACCTACAGTAACCCAATCCTTACCTACCTATCACTAACTGTGTGTACTCATTTACTACATTTATTGTCTACTTGTTTGGTCTTCCCCACACTAGACTGTAAGCTACACAAGGTCAGGAAATTTTCTGTTGTTTTGCTCACGATACATCACAAGTATTCAGATAGTACCTGGCACATCATATCACTGCATAAATACATTTGTTAAATGAAAAAGAAGAAAACCACAAGAATCAAAGCCACATAATGTCAAGGCTCTGTGAAGATAGAAATTTCATGGAGTGATATCACTGTCAATCAAAAAGATACAACGTTCTGCTAGTTTCTGTCGACTGCAGATAAAATGTGGCTTTTAAATTTTTTTTTTTTTTTTTGGCTAGGCAACATTTTGGCCATAGCAACTTGGAGAAATAAGGAAGAAATTGAATACTTCTGCCTCAAAGTGTAGCCTAAGTAGAAAGAAGGACTCATCTGGATACTTGAGGCAGGTAAAACTTTGAGTATCTTTCTTTAAATCAATGAATGATCCAGAGTCTCATTAGGTAAGAGATGCATCACAAATATGGAGAGACTTAATGAACTATTAATTGATGCAGCATAGAACTAATGAAAGGAATAATAAATTATCAGAAGGATGTAATTAGGCATGAAAAATTGTGAAATATCCCATATTTCATTCTTTTGTCAGCCAGAAAAGAAATTAGTTCTATTTATTCACCATCAAAGCAGTCATAGGGTTATCAGGTAAAAATTCCACACAAGAAATCCTTACACAGGATGTTTAAAGTACTAAAAAGAAGATCTAGGTTAAATTCGAGTTCTATCTCAATGCAATTGTATAACTTTGACAATTTAGCTTTCTAAACCTCAGGTTTCTCATTTGTGAAGTGGGACTAATAATTTTCTGTTTGTCTTCTGACTTCCATAGTGAGGGTAAAATGAGAATAGGACTATAAAATTTCTTTAAAAATACAAATAATTATTGTAATTGGTTTTCTATTTCTCCTTCAGTTTTCAATCATTCAGAAAAATGAAACAACCATATGACCCAACTATACCGCTCCTCAGTATTTAGCCTGAAGCATTAAAGTCAGCCTACTATAGCAATTCCTGCATACCCATGTTAATAGCAGCACAATTCACAGTAGGCAAAGTTATGGAACCAGCCTGGGTGTCAATCAATGGATGAATGGATATTACATTTTCTTTATCTATACATATATATATGTGTATTTATATATATATATATACATATTTATATACAATACAGTTTTACTTAGCCATAAAGAAGAATGAAATTGTGTCATTTTCAAGAAAATGGATGAAACTTGAGAACATCATATTAAGCAAAATAAATCAAATTCAGAAAATCAGGGTCATATGTTTTCTTTTACATGTGGACACTAGAGAGAAAAAGGGAAGAAATGGATGGGTGGCAAGGGAGACATATCATAAAAATAGAAGAGAGGCCAATGAAGTAAAGGCAGGGGACAGGGGAGGGAAGAGAGAAAGGAAAGGGTAAGTACTAGAAAACACAGTTGGCCGAATTATATTGTTACATTTTGTGAATGTGTTAATATGCAGTAACAAATCCCAGTATTATGAATAATTATAATGCACCCCAAAGAATTTCTTTTAATTAGGTGGCTGAAAAACTATGATACAGTGCATCTCCACCTCAGTTTTATATATAAATTATTAGAGCTCTTTAGAAAAATAGAAGATTATGAAACCTACAATGGCTTTTCCATTTGCCTCAGTCGTCTTAACAACTTTGAGAATTAACTCAAGCCTTTATTATTTTGGAGAGACAGAATCTCACTTTTTTTGTGGGCTGAGTGCAAACTCTCAGGCTCAAGCAATCCTCCTGCCTCAGCCTCCCTGTAGCTGGGACTACAGGTACTCACCATGTTCAAGCTTGAATTTAGGACTTTCCTCACACAAAAATCACTCCCCTTACCCCATATTAGCAAACAGAGCTAAAATTCAAGTGGAGCTTGAGTTTGGGAATCCAATCATGACCAGTTTTGAAATATTTCCAAAGGATATCATTGCCTAAATAAACACTGCAATACTCTCACAGGGTCTAGCTGAGGTAGGAAAGGTAAGTGATTTTGCTCCCTAATTTTCCTACATGAAATACAGGAGCTCATTTTCCAATTTCATACTACAGTGTGTCTTTTGATTCTGGATTGTGATTTCTCACCTCAGCCCTTGTTGGCTGTTTTTGTACTTCTCACCATTTTCCTACATCAGAAACAAATAAGCACGACATTGGAGAATTTATTACTAACAGGACAACTTCAACACTCTTCATTGCAGTGGTTATATTTGCAGATGCTACAAAATACCCAGGAACTAAAATGCAATTACCACATTTCAAGTAAATGTAAACTTTAAGAAGAAGAAAAGAAAAGAAAAGACACCAACAGCCTATCAAGATATATAGTTGTGGCAGTACTGAGCATAGCAGCTGCAGGTCAATTTTTTTTTTTTTAGTATTTTTTTTAGTTGTCAATGGATCTTTTTGTTTATTTATATGAGGATGGAACCCAGGGCCTCACACATGCCAGGCAAGTGCTCTACCACTGAGCCATGAATCTAGCCCCCCAGGTCAATTTTTAATAAAAATAAAGTAATTCTTAGAATACTCATCAAGTGTATATGTTATGAAATTTTAAAAAAGAAATCATAGCAAAAGCCATTTATTTACCTGACTGATGTCACTCATCCAGGCAGCTTTCTCCTGGCGCGAAGGTGCTAATAAGACCACAGTGAAAGAGGCAGCATCAGGAGGCTCCACCACTATCTTAAAATCCAGGTGTCCAAACATGTGCCCAGAACCCTTGGCTTCAACATGTGGAAATCAAACAATTAGAAATGAATACAAACTATGAGCAATAGCTGCTTTTATACAATTGAATTTAATATGATCCATGTGCATTCAGGGCCCAAATTTCATTTCAGCAAAAACATTGCTTCCTAGGCATGGGGAAGGCCTCATGAAGCTAATATGCACATGAGATAGCTGAGGGCAGCAGGTTACTCAAGACTAGGGTCCCAGACTCCTTATTTCATGTTTAATTTCCATAATGAATAGAAATCCAACCCTTTAATTCAACTCCTCTTTCTGCCTGCCACTGAAGAATCACTATCATGAGTCAATTTCAATAGAATGTCAGTTCTGAAAGACGGTTTATAAATGCTCACAGGTTAAATGGTTCAACAGGTAAAAGATTTTAGGGAGTTTATCCTCAGCATCTCCTCTGCTTTCCTAGGCAGTTCCTCTTAAACCACAGAAGATCTACAAACACAACACTTTTTTAAAAAACCTAAAATAATTGTAAGTAATAATAGAATGTGACTTACAGTCATCATCACTTGCATCAGGCTCTTCAATCAATGTACATTCTATGAGAGAGAGGACCCCACCTGTCTGGAAACAAACCGATTTGTCATTCAGAGGCTGAAGGTCTTGCATAGGCTGGAAAGCTGTGACTTGTAAGTCTTATGTTCAAATTGCCGCAGAAGAAAACATCAAACAATTTTTCATAGAGTCCAAAATTAAACTTAGATATGTCATATAAATTGAATTCATTTAATTTTAGTCTATTCTCCCCTCCACCCCAATCTTGCTCTCAGTGTTTATAAACTTTAGTGACTTCATCTATGGGAGACTAGATAGCACCAGAGGGACTTCAGAGAGCAACTATAGCTCAGCAATGGGCTGAACTCACCCAGCATGAAGTAAGTGGTTTAGAAAGTAGAAAGCCATCATCATGGTGTTGAATAATACTTTTAAGTAATAATAACAGAAGGTATAGATAGACAAACTTCCTACAAAGGCCCAGATAGCAAATATTTTCAGCTTTGCAAGCCATATCATTTCTATCACATCTACTTAAATCTACTGTATTAGCAGGAAAGCAGCCACAGATGGATGATAAACAAGCAAACGGGTGGAGTTGTATTCCAAGAAAACTGTTCACAAAAATAGGCAGCAAGCTGCAGGCCATGGTTTGCTGACTCCTGGTCCACAGGAAGATAAAATAGCAGTCAGCAAATATCACGTGGGTACTCTGCAATGATTTGACCAGATTTTTGTAGCTCATCAGTCACTAATAATAATTTTGTCTAGGTTTTTTATTTTATTGTTTTACTTCTTTAAGATAATGCATACCTAAAATACATTTCTATTACTTTGAATTCAAATGTCAACAAAGTAAGTGCCAGAGCTGTGAACTGTACTTCCCTCTTTATGCAGTCATGACAATCTGTTTTAGGCTAATAGCAGGCATGGGAAAGTCACAAGAGAGTTAACCTCAACACCTCTTAAGTGCTGGGAACATAAATGGAATAGTCACAGAAAGCCCATACCTTGAGCAGATGCAGTTTTCCTCCTGAACTTCTTGTACAAATTAAAAAGTGTTTTGTAAATAAGAAGCACTGTCTCTCTCCTTCCTTTTTCAAAGACAGTGAACCCAGGCGAACTTTACTAAGTTTCCCCCGCTCAACAGAAGGTACTTGTATAAGAGAACCTGGTGATTACAAAAGTGAAGAATACACAGCAATTAAAATTCTGTCAGGTGAGGACCATGCTCTTGGCAATAAACACAAGGGCCTGTTTCCCAAGATACCAAGCTTAGATTTAATGCATCATCAGAACAAATAAGTCTCCTACACTCCGAGAAGAAGAAACAATGCATTGTATTTTAAGGGTTGAACTGTTCCTAATACTTTTGTGACTGGAACATACATTGGAAAGAGGGTCAAACTGAACTCCAAGAACAAGGCACTTCTACTATCTCTTCTCGGAGATCTGATTCCAGTCAATTTATTCTTACTAATAGTACAAAAATTATATAATTACATATGGTAATATAATAATATGATAGAAATCATTCTTTCTGAATTTCTGAAGGTAGATAAGTAGCATATTTATATAATTTACCTTGTATTTTAAAAAACAGAATGCATGCATATTATAAAAATACATAAATTAGGTATTTCAGTACAATTTAGTTTAGGACTATGTTTTAAAGGGCAGATATTTCAAGCTGCATTTAAATTATGTGTGATAAAAATTCTTTGTGGAATCTAAATAGAAAATAAACCACATAAAAATCTCCACCCAGAACACTACTGTGAGCACAGCTCTCCTCCACTCAATGTGAGAAGCTCTGCATGGACTTTATATAATACTGAGATTACCTCTGATTATTTCTAGATTATACGCTAAAAACAACCTCCCTCACTCTAAAAATATTCCAGTCCATACATTAAATATTAAATCAAAAAGCCAAGCAAGATTCTTGCAAACACCTTGGTTCTGATTTCTGAAATCTTCTGAGCTAGTCATATTTCTCTCTTTGGTTAATTCACCACCTACCCCAAATGCAGCCCTACATAGGCTCATGTGGGCCTCATAAGAACAATAAGATGCATATTCAAATATTAACTGTAAGGAGATTGCAAGCAACCTTGTTTTCCTCTTTTATTTTTTCTGGGCTTCTTGATATTTTAAATGAGCTCAAATTGCTTCTACATGTGGTGGGAAAAAACACTAAAATTCTTTACATAAAGAACACACATACCTAATACAATGAAAGTATGGTTGTGAATCACAAAATCTTCATATTCACATATGAATATTCTAAATTGCATCTAACTTTTAACAGAGATGAAACAATGTACAGGGTGGTAAAGGACCTACGTTTCCATGCCCTGATCTCACACCAACTATTTAGGTAAGTGTTTAGGTGGGATCCTTGAAGACAATAGGCAGCTATTTGGAGCCTAAAGAATAGCAAGGTACCAGTTCTGGGAGAGGGAGTGGGATTGAGAATCAAAGGGTGAGGAGAAGCCCTGACTCCAGTGAAAGAATTGGGCAAGAGGAAAGCAAATGGAGGAGGTGAGGTAGGTGGGAGAAAACTGCAGACAGCTCAGGCAGCAAAGGATTAAATTTGAAAAGTAGAGGAGCAATGGAGAGAAGAGAAGGCAGGAAGGTTAGGAAAGTGGATGAGCAGGTAATGGCCGCAAAAGAGCTGTACTCCTGGAACACTGGGGGAGGGAATAAGAGCACAGGAGGCCTTTCAGAGAACATGACTCCATTCCTCCACCCCCTCCCCCACACACATACACGTTTTACAGAGACTGAGGCCTGAGACTAAGTAGCTCTCCTAAGGTCACTCCTAAGTGAGGGGCCTACTCAAAAGATGAATCTGACAACATGAAAACTAAAACTTGTAATAGGAAGAGATGGAAAAAGATGGTAGGTGCTGCCTTTGCCACTGGTGGCCGGGAGTCACCCAGGGAGATCAGTCAGGGCTGAGCCAAAGACTGGGGCTTGGACATATGTCTTGGTGGACAAAGAGGCTGGGAAGTCATTTTCAGTAAGGTTATAACCAAGTCTGTGAAAAATCAGTAATTACATGTTCATTGATAAATGCTTCTAGCAATTTAATGACTTTCTAAGTTAGAAATGACAGAGCACACTCTTAGTTCATATATTAGCAATTATGTGAATTTCAGCTCTGAAGTAGAAAAATAGATGTTTCCTTGGTAACCATACATTGATATGCTTAATCGGTAAGTATTCACCTCATACCCAAGCAGGGGAATATGTGCATTAGGTATGGACACAAATTTACACATCCGAATTAAAAACAGAAATTTCAACAGTTTGCTGTATAAAGTAAAATGCTTGGAAAACAACATTTTAAGTAGGTTATTTTTTCACATTTCATTTTAGGATTGACATAGTCCTGAGAATTAAAGAAAATATTTCTGTTTTGTTAATACAAATGAGAGAAAAAAATTGAAATTCCTCAGTAATACACCATAGCTATGACCCAGTCCTTAGCATGCTGATCATCAGTCTATCTAATTGGGGTCAACTTACAACAGAGATTTTGTGATTTCAATCACTGAATTCCTGAGCAATGGCATCTAGACTGGCTAATTCCCTTAGTCTTCATTCCACTCAGTAGTGGAAAGAAAAAAAATAATGAAGAGCAGTTCCAGGTTATTGGATTAGGCTCTTGTGAAGATGTAATTATTTCTAAACCCTGTGCTACAATTCCAAAAAACACTGGTGTTTGGAAAGCACATAATTTAGAGTTTGGGGATAACTAAACTGCCAGACGGGTCCACATCTCCTTCTTAAAACTTATTTCACTATGATTTTGTATGGGGAGGAGTGGGCAGGTACTAGGGATTGAACTCAGGGGCCCTCGGCCTCTGAGCCACATCCTCAGCCCTGTTTTGTATTTGATTTAGAGAAAGTATCTCATTGAGTTGCTTAGTGCCTCACTATTGGTAAGGCTGGCTTTGAACTCACGATCCTCCTGCCTCAGCCTCCCAAGCCACTGTAATTACAGGCATGCACCACTGTGTCCAGACATTTCACTATGTATTGTCACCTTTATTTAATTTTCCTGATTTACATGTCCACAAAACAATGTTGACAATGCATATGGGTTTGTACAAAATGTCAATTTAGAGAGCCTTTATCTTCTAACAAATATTCATATTTATTTCATGTTGTCAGAAATAGAAACTCATTCTAGAATTTGGATCTTAGTATTTAAAGCGAATGTCATAATCTCACAGGCACTAGTTTAGGAGGTTTTGTGAACATCAGTTCATTTTATCTCAGCAATGATCCTGAAAGATAGGTGCTACCATTAACTCCAATGTAAGGAGAGGAAACAGAGGCAAAGAAAGGTAGAGTAAATTGCCCAATATCACACAGCAAGGAAGTAAGGGAGGCAAGATTTGACCTGTATCATCTTCATCTTATTGCCTCTGATATTTATACATGTATTCAACAAAATTTATTATTAGATTTCAGAAAGTAAATTCAGAGGACCTAGATGACTGATTTTTTCTACTTCTTAGAATAAAAATTCATAGAAGGTTCAAAGTGTGCACAGACATGTGCAAACATACACACTAGAATGAACACAAATACTAGCACACTGTCAGAGATAAATTATAGTCTGTTTCACATAAAATACCTTGAAATTTTAAGGCATATAAAATCTAAAAAACAGCTTGATGGGTCTTAAAGCCTGTTAAGAGTATTTAGAAAAAAAAAAAATGAGAATAGGAGCAACCAAAGCAAATCAGTGCACACTTTCCAAATGGTCTTAATCGACCACCTTCTACTTTGAGATTAAGGACTGATATTCAGAAGCCATCTTTATTGAATAATTTCAAAACAGAATAACTAGATAGAATTGTAGAAAAATACCACTGAAAAGCAAACCATCATGTCAACATCAATACAATAATAACATCACAAATAGTAATAGCTAACAGAAGTTCCTTAAATATGTGGCACATAACAAGAAATAAATAACATGGACATGATTTCTAGGGAGAAGTGGTGCATGATGTTTTTTTTCTCCAAGTACAAGGGAAAATCATACGACCTAGTCAACATATTAGATCTTCCAGCATTTTTTATTATCAGTGCTTTTTCAAATTCACACCCATACAGTCACGTTTCTAGAAATATCACTCAATCCAAAGTCCTTTTAGAAACTGTCCTCTGGTTACAGAAACTTTTTTTTCCATTCTTGCATACTATAAAGCACATGTCAATTAGTAGGCATTTTCAGTGTCTCCAAGTAAAAGACAAACATAAAATATCCTACAGTCACAATTGCAATTCAACAAATAGTTCGATTTAGTTCAATACCCATTTTCTTGGTAGCTATCTTGTAAAGCATCATACGAAATAAGGCAAGGCAGGAAAAATTTGTAAATGCTGCCCTTTAAAGCTTACAATTCCTGGGAGAGACATGCAAACAGTACCCAGACACAAAAGGACAAAACACATGCACCAGCAGCATAGGGCGTTGGAAAGGATGAGGGAGGCTGAGTGGTTGTAACTGGAGAGTGAGGAGGAGGAGGACATCAAAAGCCTCCTTAAAGATATCTGACCTGAGCCTGGTCAGACAAGCAGACTTTTGAAGGCACAAAAGAGGTGGATTAGGGTTTTCCTGGCCCCAGGCTGGGGACAGCACAGATGAAGGCACAGAGACGTCAAGTGCTGGGCAAGCAGCAGCCAATACGGAGAACAGTCTGTGCAAAGGAGTAGAAGGGGAATTGCAAAGGCCTGATGTTCTTCGCAGTGTATTTCACTATTATTTAAAGAAAACTTAGTATCTAAAGCCAAAAATGGGAGAAGGAATCATTTCCCAAAATATGCTACCGACTTTAACATATGTGTGTTTTCCTTCCTTGTAAATAAATAACGGAAAATAGAATGGCATGCATTAAACTTTTAAACTATTCTGTATGAAAATTAATGTGCACAGCACAATATTCAGTTTGATGAGGTAAAATAAAAGATTTTAAGCAGCCTCTTACGGTAGGCAAAGGCAATGCAAGTCTATTCAAATGATACTGGCACATCAAAACCAGAAATGAATTCAAGCTCCAAATTTATGCTCCACTCCTCACCAAGTACACAACTGTAAATGTGTGCAAGATACTAGGTCAATTGCTCCCTCCCGCAATACCTAAGCACTTAAAAATAACGGACGGGGTTGACTTCTTGCACTTTCAAATAAGAGCTGAGGAGGGTGTGCACTGTCCAGTTGTTACTTCTCCACAGCGTCTGGCACAAATATCTTCAATTCTTCAAAAGCTTAATTTATCAGGTGATGACCCCAGAGTACATTCCACATACAGGACAACTTCACCATTGCCAAAGCATGGTCAGGGTCGATCAGGAGAGATTCCATCTGGTAAGTGGAATTCAATTACCAGTTGAATCAAATTATATCCTGTGGGGCTGATCCAGAAGTGCTGATGAAAAATGGGAACAAGAGACAGCTGTTTTCACTTCGGACATTGTCCCCACTCTTATGTGAAAGGGCTTTGAGGAATTCAAGTTTTTCTTGGGCCTTTGCCTGGATATCATCACCACCTGGCATTGCCACTCCAATTGGCCAGACCGACCTGTCCTCCTTGGAGCTGTAGAGAATGTCCGGTCCACTGAGGAGGAGAGTCCAGTCAGAGTGTAACTTACTGTCCCACTGGTGCTTTACTATTATTGTGTTGCTGTGTTTCATGGCCCCTGAAAAGAAACAGCACAGAGGTGGGCCTCAACCACAGCCTCGGTCAAGGCCACAAGGGTGTCCTGTGGGAACTGCAGCACTCACACACCTAAACCAGACCTGCTCCAGAATGCATCCCTGGATCTGCCAGTGACACTGTGACAGACGTAAGTCATGGGCCTGTTTCACAAGGACTTACCTTGGCGGATGAAAGTTTGGCTAGTGTCCAGCAAAATGTCGCAGCCCTCTACTATCATCCTTTCGATGGCAAGGTTTTTCCTTATATTTTCTGTGTCACTCACTTCATCGTGCATCACCCTGTCAGACAACACAGATGGAAGGGATGGCAGTGAGACAGCAGTGACCTCCCTAGCACATAAACAAGGAAGAGCTGCACCTGAGAAGCTCAGTTTTGAACTCCTATTGATTTAACTGGGGCTTTGGGGCAAAAAGACTGGGCCTCAAAAAGTTCTAGGCTTCAACAGGTTGTGACCCAAACCAAGACCAGTGTGCATGAAGATTCTAAATGGTAAGTGGCTCAGTGATCGTGAGCATCCTTGGAAAACTTGGCTTTGAATGCAGCTGGAAAGCAACACATCATTTTACCTACAGCTCCCTTCATTGAAATTAGTAGAATTTCCTAGAGGTGCAGTAAATTCTCTTAATTCCCTTATACCATTTATCCCTGAGAAGCCAAAGAAACAGAGGTGTAAATAAGTGCCCATAACCATAACAAGCCATTAGGAAATGAACTGTACATTCTCCACCTTTTTATCAAATCTGAATACAAAACTGCAACTGAAAGTCATTTTTCTATTATGATGAAAAAAAATGGGAACATTTCCAAACTTAAACCAAATTACGCCTAATCTCAATTACATAAAATTCACATGCTATAAAAGCTTTTTCAAAGATATATTTTTTTCCCTTGGTTAAAATTAATGTGAATGATGATTCAGTATTATCTCACAGGCTCGCATTAAACTTTGAGGTGACTCTGAGCCACTGGATTTAGGTTTTGCTTTCTTGTTCCTGGGTTCACATAAGAAGACTCAACTGCTGCTTTCCCATCTCAGGCCTTTACTGTAAGTTCTCTGCATACCTGGACAGCTCCTCTAGCTTTGATTTAGCAAACTCCAGACTCTTCCTTTCCACATGCTCATGGGGTGTGTGAGCCAGGAGCTCATGCAGTGTGATGATATACCTGGGGATCTAAACGTAAACAAGGCCAGCGTGAGCAAGGTCAGGACGGGTGACATAGGGACTTTCTCTACAGTGCCATCATTACACTGAAAAACTCATTGCTGTTCTTACAGTTTTTCAAATAGTTAAAAAAAACACACACACACACAAACACATAAGACAAATCATGCTTCAAATTTAAACACACACCAAAAAAAAAAAAAAAAACTTCACAAGTAAAGGTCATCATAAATAATAAAGTGTTGTAGCTCAAAGAAACTATTATTTCTTTCATTTTTTATAAAACCATAAATTTTCAAATAGCAGTTTTCAAAACCTGGTTCATAGGAAACATAATCTGAAGTCTCTGATGTTTGCATTCTAGATATTTTTGTCTGTTTACATGATTTTTTTAAAGTTTATAATCCTAAAGCAAAGTTCTTTTAAAACTTCAGAGAAGATATGTTCAACATTCTGATCCTACTTTATCTCAATTCACCCTTTGGCAGTAAAAGGCATTGTTTCATTAGATCATTCTTTGTACTTTTGTTTATTAACAGACTAGCTATTTGAATTCTCTTAAAGGCAGAAACTCCACCAACCTTGTGAGGGTTTTTATAGACCAGAGTAGAGATCAGGTTATAATGATTTGACATACTCAGGCTTCACTGGTTTATAAAATAGTTTTTTTTAGAAAGCAGAGACTGTGGCCAGGCACAGTGGCACATGCCTGTAATCCCAGAGGTTCAGGAGGCTGAGACAGGAGGATTTCGAATTCAAAGCCAGCCTCAGCAACGGCGAGGTGCTAAGCAAACCAGTGAGACCCTGTCTCTAAATAAAATACAAAATAGGGCTGGGGATGTGGCTCAGGGGTCCAGTACCCCTGAGTTTAATCCCTGATACGAAAAAAGAAAGCAGAGACTGTGGCATGAGCCACGGCTCCCATAGCACTGCCTACTGTGCTCAGGGATGCTCTGGGCTTTGTATATGGGTCTGGTCCTCCGGCAACATAAGGATTCATTCTCCACTTTCCAGGTAAGGAAATAAAGTGTGAGGAGGTTGGTGACTTGCCCAAGGCAGCCTCATGGTAAATGACAGTTGCAGCTATGCTCCGGGCTCTGATGGGGCACCCACCAGCTCCCCGCAGAGCCTTCTCACTAGATCACTTCCATGAGCCCCAGAGCCCCAGTCAGAACTTTAAAGAACTTGGAAAATGAGAACAGAAAAACAGCTTGCCACAGCCCTGTGTGCAGCTTTTCTGTCCTGAGGGGCTGGTGGCTCTATCTGTGGATCTGCTTCTGCTCTTGTGCAGGGGTAGCTTTAAGGGGTTATTTACTCACATCTTCTGAGTGGCTATCTTTGTGCACTAGCACAGTTGGCATCAAGCCCATTAGCAGAAACATTGAACTGCACTTGCTGATCAAGTGACAGTTTCAGAAAGCACAGATAGACCCCTAGGTCTCAGGAAGGCAGGACACAGGAAACGGTAGAGTATACAGAGGAGACCTTCTGCCTCTTCATTTATAGACTTCTTTAGGGCTGTCCCACATACAGCAGTCTTCTGGGGTAAATATGCATTCAGATATCCCTTTCATTAGTACAATCCCATGATCAATAAAAGTTTGCAAAAAAGTTAACAGTTCCACAGAAAACCAAGTCAATCAATGCCAATGTACTCAATTTTTCATAACAAAGGGGCAGGAGTGGGAGAGCCTGACTACTTAGAATACACTGAAACCCCACAAAACTAAGTTTAGTCAATAGCTTCGAGATCCTCCTCCATTAGTTAAATATATTTTAAAGAGCTCCCTGGCTAAGATTAAGTGGATGGAGCTGAATTTGGTAAGTGGCCCTTTCTACTTTCTGGTGGAGGAACAAAGAAGGGCTAACACTGCCAAAAAGCAGGCAAAGGAAGTTTGCTGAGGAGCAGAAGATTCTGCAAAGAGCTTGTCTGTGTGTTGGAGAGCTGATTACAAATCGCTTCTCCAGAAGAAGACCTAAGAATCGTAGTAACTGTCTAAATGAATCATAACTCTGCTTTCAATAATGGCACAAGTACTTGTCATTTCACTGACATTAATTAGCTCGCTCTTCAGTAAATCACTAGATAGAGCAGCAAGTGACTACCTTCCAGAGAACATCCAACAGTGCTCTTCTCACCAGGAGCAGATTTCATGATCTGCTGAGGCCAATCTAAATACCAGTCAAGCCACTGATTTGGCTAAATAAAAATCACGTTAATGACTATATTATTTTCCATAACAAATTCCTTGGCAATACTTGAACTTACTGGTCTGACAGTTCAGTTGGGAATAATTTCACAGCACCATCCAAATTCTACAATTCCTCCCTGTTTCCATAGTTCAATATGACTCAATTAACAGCAATAACTAATTTACTTAACAAAAGGCACAGAAGGATGTAGAATATAAATCACCCTTTCTTTTCTAGAGGTACATGGACTAAAAGCTTACAATTACCTCTCCCCTTCCTTCTGCCCCCATATCTAGGCTCAAGAAAAATCTTAGGCCAGAGCCCCCCCCCCCCCCAGTATAAATCTGGGTCACCTCTACCATTGTTTCCCTACAGCTAAAATTGGATAGTACCCTAGCTTCATCCTAGGATGTCCAGCCCTATGAGGGAGTAAGGCAGAAGTACTACTGCTAATTCAATGTACACAGAGGGGAGACCCCTCTGAGTTAGCAACACCTTCATGGCTATTTCACCTCATTAGTGAAAGGTCCACAAGGGAACAAGAAAGATAGAATGAACCCAGTAAGAAAGCAGTTTCAAATTTCTAGCGCCCCAGTTGGTTCATATGGCTTCTTTTTGGAAGAGGCAACAGGGAAAAACACTAAGTAAAGAAGACAGATGAGAGACACAAGGGGCACAAGCCCTCAGGCAGCAAACTTTGATGATTTCTCCTCTGGGTACATTCAAAATACTTACAAAGAAGCAAATAAAGACAATTCAGTGCACTTTCAATTTGCTCATTTCTTTCTTTTTTTTTTTAGTTGTAGGTGGACACAATGCCTTTGTTTTAATTTATTTAGTTTTATGTGGTGCCTCACATGCTAGGCAAGCGCTCCACCACTGAGTCACAACCGCAGCCCCTGTCTTTTTCTTGCGGCTGAATTGAGTCTGACTAAATCCCTCATGCTTGAAGCTTCTCCCAGAGCAAATGCTCTTACAAGCTGTAACCCTGGAACCCTGGAACAAGCCAGAGAACCTCAATATCTGAGCCTACAACTAATGATTCTAGGGCTTGGGGATCACCACAGTCTGGGGGTGGGTTCCTAAACTACACCAGGCTCCCTTCGGTAACTACACGGTTACCCCACCCAAACTGTCAGAACCAGCAAAGCCCCCCTGGGATTGAAGAGCCAGAGAGCTAGAGTGCTCCGAGATAACTAAAGCTCAGCTGTGTATGCTTTGAGATTAAGGTTTTTTCAATTATTTTCCCCAAAGCAAGGACCAAAGGGTGAGTGAGATGTCAGGTCTCCTTGAGATTCCTCAACCTAATGTCCTTTTTCTGACATAATGGGGATTGCTTATGATCAATCAAAATATTGCTGTTGGTTTTAAAATCTAGTAGAGGAGAATGTCTCCACTTTTTAAAGAAACCCAAAGATCTTTCCAAGGTCCCCACATTCAACTGTACTTGGGCACCCCATCTCCAGGGCAGGTGCAGTTCTGCTACTTTAAAACACTGAAAGAATCAAGAGCAAATGCAATAACATGTAGAAAAACTTCAGTGGGCAGTGAGAAGGAAACTAGGTCCCTCTCTGAATGTCCCGTGTACCTGTCATAACTCTACCTTTGCACAGTCACCTTGGGACAGTTGAATAGATAAAATTTGGAATATTGAATTACAACTAGAGGTTAATGCCCCAAATTCAAAATTCAAATAAAATCACAGGTTAGAAGAATTATACATTATATGAAAATGTTTCACTGTGAATAAAACCTAAAATTCCAATTATGAATGTAATGAAATAGAAGTTCAAAATTTTTCTTGTGAAATATTTCCTCAGAGAGGCAAAGAGTTCAAACAATTTTGTTCCATAAAAAAAACAAAAATAACATTATAAAATTTCACTATACTTAAGTGGTTTCAAATGCATCTTTCTGGTTTTTAAAAAAATCTTACTAAATTTCTGTGGCAACTTCCAGGAATTCAAGCAGTACTAACAAACTTAAAGATAAACAATTAAGAACCACAGTAACATTTCTTTCTTAGGCTAAGAAATGATGGGCCTTGGGTCAGAGCCACCTGCTCAGGAGGACAAAACTCCCACAGTAACCATAACACACATGATTAGTAGAATCGGTTTGCCACATGACAATTTGGAGGACTCACCAGAAGCCCCATAAATTCCACAATGGGAACACTCAATGCCTTTCCAAAAGAACAGAATCGACAGTTTTCAAAAGAACAGGAGATTCAATACACATTTTGGCCTCTGCCATTCTCACTCCAGAGCTCTTAATGGCAAAACCCCAGACACAGGAAAGACCCAAGTGGCCTTGATCCCTTGGTTTGGTCTAGACCCCAAAAATGAATCTCAGGTCAGAGCCACGACTCTACAAGGCCATCTGAGTGAGGGCCTCTGGTTCTGAAGTCTCCAGAGCCTCTCTAACCAGGGGGTCCTCCTTTCCTTCCCCAGAGCCGCAGCCAAAGGAAACTCAATGGCAACCAAGACAAGGTGGGGGGATGGGCCACAAACAGGGGCCTTCTTCCCCCAGTCAGAGCAGTCCCAAAAAACGTTTATGCAACCAGCACAAACTGGAACATTTGCACAGAATCCTATTTCTGTAAACCTAATAATATTTTTAAACATGCTGGAGGAGGAGACTCCAATGAAAGAAGTCTGTGTGGAATCTTTCTATAAAGAGAAAATTGTGCTGCTCTTCAAAAAATTCATTCCTGAATTATTTGCTTCAAAAATGCCTACTTTCTGGTCTGGGGATGTAGCTTAGTGGTAGAGCACTTGCCTAGTATTTAAGAGGCACTGGGTTCGATCCCCAGCACTGCAAAATTAATTAGTTAATCATTAATTTCAAATCACCAAGAATGCCTGGATTCTTATACTCTAGACAGAAGACATGTTTGTTTCAGGGCCAGGCTTAAGACAATGTCAGATGATGCATAACTCTTCATTTATACTTATATGTATTTACATGCCTTGTGCTGATCACAGTAGGCATCAGTTACAATGGCTTATAGAACGCATCCCAAGCAATTTACCTGAAACATTGGATAGGTCAAGAACGTTTCCAGCATCCTTCCCTCACAGGCAGGGTTGGCTTCATATTGTTTTAAGAGTTTGTCAAAATCTCTGTTTTGCTTACAGTTGGCAAGGACTTGGAGGCTGTACTGGTGATTTCGCACAAATTCTTGATAAATGTTCAGCATGGGGAGCAAAATATCAAACAGATCAGCTGGAAAAGAGAAGTAAACATGCTGTTTCCCTTGGTGCCTGGTAAAATTATCTACACTCAACAGGAAGAGCAAGGATGGGCTCCCAGCACCAGGCATCACACAACATAGGGCCCTAGTCCTCATGCCTGAATAACCTATCTGTGTTAGATAGAAAGTATCAGAGACAGACAGTGACTCCAGCCCCAAATTACCTATGACAAAGGGAAAGAGTCAAAAGCTAACTGCTAAGGCAGGGCCCAAAGAACCTAAAGTGCAATGACACGGACTCCCAGTGGCTAAGGAAACCCAATGTCAACAGGGACATTCAGACGGCTAAGGCCAAATGACATACAAGTTATTATACTCTATCTGTTGCCATTCCATGAGAAAATAATGAATGCACTTACCTAAAATTAAAGTAGGCCAGTTTGCAATCCTTGCCTTTAGTCCTTGGTGAAATATTTCATGAAGAAACATGATGGTTTCACTATGAAAAAACAGGAAGATCATACAATTTAGTCACTATAGAGTGTCTGTTATATATATGATGTACCGGTCTCACAGGGCCACCAAACTGTGCACCCAATAATAATGTGGACTACACTAGCCTCTACAAAGGCATTTCTCTTTTAGATAACCTCAAAAACTGAAAGAAAACTGAGCTATGCTTCCAATATTGGAGAACCAAATCACTGTCTTATGACCCTCTTCATCATTTTTAAGTGAGCTTTCTGCTGTTAGAATGCAGCACTTCAACTGATAATCATAAAATTAAAATTATGATCCTTTTTCTTTTTGTATTTGATTCTAGAAAACTCAAGAAAAGGTTTCTCTCACAAAAATGAGTTTTTATAGAAGGAGGTAGAGGGCAAAAAAAACACAGTGAAAAATTTGACAGGACTCTAACCATTCCTAAGTTACTCAATGCAGAAATGTAAAATTCTTCTGAAAAGAAATGCACACAGATACTAAAATGAGGACTATGCATAAATTAGGGATCTAAATTCCTACTATGGCCAAGAAGGGTAAGCACCAAAGTCAAAATATCTTTTTCTTTCTCCTCATTAGAATTAACCCACTGCAATGAGCCTTTGAATGACAGCTTTTCTCAACTAACACATTGGTACAATTAAATACAGAATTATTTATCTCAATGAGATACCTTGATTTGTATCAAAATTTATTACAACAAACCTCAAGAAAAAAGTTCTTACTATTTCTAAAACTAAAATGAATACAGCTTGAAGATTATGACTTTGTTGTTGTTTTATAGAAATTTCAATGAATCCTTTTATTATCTAAGGATTTCTAACCACATCTAGTTGGCAAGTCCTATAGATTGTCTTTCAATCAGCATTCTACTCTCATTCTAGGCAGAGAGAATGGCAAGCTAAAACTGCATTTCCCAGATTTCCTTGAATCTATGCTCTGGATGTAATTGCATTTCCACCAATGCATGCACTTGGGAAGACATGGAAGACTGAAGGAGACCACATTCCTGTTGTATTTTCATTTCTAGGAACAGTTTCATAGGTCTGTTATGGTGGTAGTGGTCATGGCATTAGTTTCCTAAGCTCTGGGTCACACCTATGGTGCTCTGCCCTTAAATTCAATACTCCAGGGGCAGCTTTACTCCTCCAGCCCTTCCAAGTCTATAAGCAGAGAATTCCCTCTATCGGGAGGTATTGCTCTATCTTACCTTGAAAACTAACTGATACATCCAGCTTCATATTTTGATACCTGGATGTTTAGAAGACAGATGAAACAGTGCTGTATAGAATTAGGCAGATTACATTTTCTTAAGTATAAACTCTGCGTTGAAATCTAAAACAACTGACTTGCCTGGGGCTTCAATTTCAAAGGCAAGGAAAGGGAATCTAGTTAAACAACAGTTAACGACAAGAAACACCCTAAGTCTCACCTTTAAAAGCATATCTCTTCAAATCTATCTAGGACTAGGTATGGTAAACCATTACATCTATAGGAAAAGCTTTTTTGCATCACCTCCCCAAAAGAGGCACAATATCTCAATTCTGAAATTAAACAATATGCTATACCTAGCCTTTCATGTTTCCGATTAAGCAAACCAATGGATACAAACCACTAGGTGCAACCCAAAATCAACATGGCACAGACTCTAATAGCATCATTATCAGGCAGTATGGTTTTTCCATCCCATCCACAGCCATCAGAACTGTTAAAACGGCATTCTTGGGTGACTGACATATCATCAAAATGCTAGCTGTACTTCCCAGTGATCAAGAGCTACCACTCAGGCCCTTTAGGATAGCTGACATACTTGAGTAGAGCTGTGGACATTGCCACTCAACGTGAGGAAATGTCCCTCCTTCCTTTCAACAAAAATTCTTTAATTTTTTTAATTTTTAATTTAATTAAAACTTTAAAAAATTAAAAGTTATTGTTATTGGTTGTAATTAATGTTATTATTGTTATTGTTATTAATGTTATTAATGTGATCATGTGCCACTCCTCAGCCTTCCTTTCTGCAGCCATCCACACAGTCCTAGTCATTCTTCCTACCTTCTGGAGATCTTAGCCACCAGCTCACTTTCTCCAACACAACTCCTCTCATAGTTTTTGGTGATTCCACTCTGCACACAAACCACATTTCAATATCCGGGCCTCTCAGGTCTTTGAACCCCCTCTCCAAACATCTCGATCCCAGCTGACACCAGTCAATGCCCCCATTGACTATACTCTAGACTTTGTCACTGTTAATAACTGCATCCTATTCCTATCTCAGTTCTCTGACCACCTCCTATTGTTTCAGTCTGCTGTCTTTAAGACTCTTGACTCCAAAAAGCCTTTCACACAGACAGGACTTAAGTTCACAGGTCTGACCACCTTTGCATTGACCAAAATACCTTTCTACAAACTTTAGATTCCACGGGTCCTTATATCTCTTCTTTGCAGACACTTTGAATTCGGTTGTACTTTTCTCAATTCATCAGATTAGCCTTGCACAACACCAACCCCTAACATCAACCCTCCACCCACCTGCACCTGCATCCACGCAACTAAAAGTAGCTAAAGAAAAACATGCAACTATACAGACTGGTCTCAGTTACCACCACGAGCCTAATAAACTCACATGGGCTCACAGTGCTTCCCAGCAACTGCACTACAGCTCCCTGATCCACCGACTCCCTGCTCTTCTTGACCACTATTCACATCTTCTCCTATCTCATCCAACTATGACATTTCCTCTCCCTCTGCCAGCTGATATCCTTACTTCCTAGTTACATGTCTTTGTCCTCTTCCCTCCTTTATTCCCTCCCTGCTCATATTCCCATTAATGCCAGTCTCTCCGCTTGTGTATCTCGTTCTCTACAGTTTTGCCCGTATAAGCTTGCTGCTCCAGCAATCCTCCCCTCTCTTTCCTGCATCACTTCCCCCTCTTTATTACCTCTAGGTACTACCCTATTTCTCTGCTCCTATTTATAGCAAACTGCCTTGAAAGAATTTTCTATACCCACCCTCTGTAATTCCTATGCCCTATGCCATTCTCTCCTAAGGCCCCCTAATCAGGCTCCCGCACTTCATCAAAGCTACCCTCAGCTCCAAGTTGTTATATCCACGGTCAGTTCTCAGTTGTTTTCTTTGACCTTTCTGTCATAGTTGTTCATTCTCTCTTGCTGCTAAGTGATCCTCTTTTCTCTTCTTTGCTACTCTCTCTCTCTCATCTTCCTAACTTCTAAAGGGATTAGTGCTCCTTTCTCTTCTGTGATCCATCACTGTCTTTTGTGTAGAAGGAGGGAGATAAGATAGTATATTTATATCTGCTTACATCTAAATCAAGAAACTATAAAAGGCTATAAGAAACTAATAAAAATAGATACAGAAATTGGGCAGAATGGGGTGAACAGAGACAGGATAAGAGTGAAACTGATTTTTTTTCATGTTATTTTGATGTTTGCATCATGTGAGTGTGTTATCTACTCAAAAACAAATAAGCCATTAAAATTTAAGTAAAATACCCAACCACTCCTTTCCCCCCTCCTCTCCTATCCCTTTTAATTTTTCTCCTGGTACTGACCACCATACAATTTACTACTATATGTTTTATTTAGTCACTATTAATTGTCTTTCTTCTCACGTCAAAATTTAAGTTCTGTGAAAGCAGGGATTTTCTACTTTATTCACTAATTAATCCTCAGCAATAAGAACACTATAAATATTTGTTGAGCAAATAAATTCAACAAGGGTTCTTAGTTTTCACTCTTCCTAAAATATCTTGTGTAAACTGCACGTAAAGACCTATTAATCAGTTTGTTCCCCTCAGTTGCAAGGGGGATTCTTTTCAACACCCTCACCCCACACACACATAATGACAAGAAAATGTATGTCAAAGAAGAAAACTGAGAAAACGAGATGCCAAGATTCCAAAGATGTGCTAATTTGGACTAATGAATGCAATGATAGCTTTCTTATTTTTAACATCATAGGGATTCGTTTTTGAGATCTTGCTTTTAAAGCAAGGCACAGATTGTTTCATGAGCTATCAGCAGGTTCTTCTCACGACTCTCAGATTTATGCAAAGACAAACCTGTTGAGAAAAATACTGCTGACGTCGTCGTGGCTGATGGGCGGCTTCTTGGAGCTGGCGGCCATCCGCAGGGGCCGCAGGAAGCCATTGACCAGGATGTAGAGCTGGTGCACGTACTCGGACTCGGCCTCCACCATGGTGAAAACGATCTGGTTTCTCTTCCTCATACTCTCAGCATGAGGAGAACAAATGTAGTCTTGCACGATGGTCTTCCATTTCCTTCTGCACAACCACCCTCGCATGAAGCTCTGAACCTGCAAAACAAAAAGACAAAAAGGAACCTCAGGGAGACGCGAGCCTGGCTTTCTAGGCTGGCCATGTCCATCCTGTGTCATGTAGAACACTGCTCTCATTGGCACCCCAGTGGCACCTCCAGTAGAATAAATAACTGCAGAATTTCTCCAATAGGAGGACAATGGATTATAAATATCATTTTTCTCAGGTTCAAAAGTTTCTTCCATAGCTGAAGCTCCATAGACCTATCTATGTGGACTCTGGAAATATAATATTACATATGAGCTAATAACACTTCAAGAAAGAAATTAATCGAATCATTAATGGAATGTCTATTTTTAATAATAAAGAAATATATATAATGTTTAAATTGTGATTTTAAAAAAAAACATGTACTTTGTAGAACCTTGCTAGCCTCTAAAACTGAGTTGCTTAGGACCTCATTAAGTTGCTGAGGCTGGCTTTGAATTCCTGATCCTCAGCCTCCCAAGCCGCTGGGATTACAGGCATGTGCTACCACGCCCGACTTAAGAACATTTTAATAGAATTGTATGAAGCAGCTATTGCATATATCTGGGGAAATCTAGTGGAAAATTTCTGTGAATTATAACCAATTCAAGTTGTGGTCACTTTTCCCCATTTTTAAAAAAATTGGTGCATTATAGTTGTGCAAAATGCTGTGATTCATTGTTACGTATTCATACATGCATACAATATAACAGTATAATTTGGCCAATATCATTTCCCAGTATTTCCTCTTCAAGTTGTGGTCTCTTGAAGTAAAATAAACAAACAAACAAATAAATATTACATTTTGTCAAGCATAGAGATGCAATTAATTTGTAAACATTCATTTCCACAGACATTAGTTTCATTTGGAACATAAAGGACATGAAGTTAATTTCAAACATTTTACAAGTTCACAAATAGGTTTAAAAATTACTACAATTAAGAATCAGGGCTAAAGATGTAGCTCAGTGGTAGAACACTGGCCTAGAATATATGAAGCCCTAGTACAGCACCCCCCCAAATAATAATAATCAGGAAGATAGAAAATGTAAAAAAAAAAAGTGTTTTATCATTATTCTTCCATGTATTATATATATTTTCAAAAATCAACTTAATTGAGTTTTGTGTTAAATAAAGTCTTATTTACTTGGACAGGTGTTCTCTGCTGAAAAACAGCTAGATCTGTTACTTACCAATAGACCTGCTTCTACAAGAAAACTGAAATGAGATTTTACTAATAGCTTTATTTACATGCAACTGCATACTATTAAAAGAAAAGCAACAGAATTAATCTTGGAACAGAATAACAAACCAGATTAAAAAGAAAGAGGTTTAAATTCTAAGAAAGGAATGGTGTTATTTCACTTTTTTATTTCTTGAAAACTGAAAACTCTCATCTAGCCCAAAGAATCATTTCTATTCCAAATTCTGAGCAATTCTTGGTTAAGATTTTGTTACAGCTAAAAGGAAATAATTATTTAATATAGAAAAATATGAGTAAGAAAAAAATTAAGATTCAAAATGTATTCCAGGAAAAGAGCTTTAAATAGGAAGCTTCATACCTGATATTAACAAAGCTGAGTGTTTTACCCAGGTCAGTTAAGACCATGGAATCAAAGCCCAAATGATATAAATCGAAATACAGTGGACTAGAATGTGCGCCAGTATCTGGCTCCTCACAAAAGTTGTGCAATTACAAATGACAGTAAGATGGAAAGGTCTGTTGCTTATGTGGATATTCAACAAGAGACAACTGTAAGACAAATCTGAGCAGATGTATTGATTTATTTTACATTCTCAAATATAAAAGAAATCCTAAATAAGCACTAAGGATCGATGTTAAGAGAAATATTTTTGAAATGTAATTTTTAAAAATTCCACCAAATATGCAAGAGGCACAAAATCAGGAGTTTCAATAGCACTTAATTAACCCAACTGGAGAACACTATTCTCTTAATGTCCAGTTTTGGCATCCCTCCCAGAGAGTCCAAAATAGGATTCTCAGTACTGGAAAGAAATGGCACACTGAAATTCTCCAGAGCAGCCAAAATTGGACCATTCTGAAGGGCATTCTGGGTGTCATTAACATAGAAACACGAAAGCTGTTCCAAGTTCAGGAACACAGTAACAAAGATACCACCACAGGATATACAGTGGTGGCCATGCTCCCACAGGGCCAGAAGCCTCCAATGCCCTACCTTTTTAATCTTCTTGATGTCTGGATCCTCATCTTCTTGGTTGCTTTGGTAAGGGCGCATTCGTTCCTTGGTTTTATTAAGAGCAATAATCTATAACACAAAATTAGTCCATTTTATGATTTGGGAAACAGTGGAGCACAGCCATAACCCACAGGATGTTCTGCCTACAAAGGTGGTCCACTGAGATATTCAGGGAATGTCTGCTTTTTTGCACCCTTTATTTCTCTGGAGCTGAGGCAGGGAAGTATGAATTTTACCTCTAGCCTGGTGTTACTAACAAAAGTGAATATGTAAAGTGTGAACTAGGGTCTGTGTTTGAAGACATGTTAGCCCAGAACTTGGCCCTCCCTGACCAGACCAAGGCCTCCTGGGACCTCAGTGCCTGTTGTCCTCTCTGCCTGAAGACAGCTGCCCCTGGTGCATTGTGCTCCCCAAATGCAGGGTCACTACACTCAAAGCTCATTTCCCATAATCATCCTGTGTCCCTCCAAATGCACATGATACAGCAGACTCACAGCCCTCTTTGGAAAATGGTAAGTAAAAAGGGAACCTCAGAGGCCTGGAGTTGGTCTAAGACAGTCAAGAAAATTCCTCAGAAAACACAAAAGGGATTGAAACAACCTGGGATCTCTCCACGAATCTCCAGCTCAGTTCTGTAACTATGACCAAGAGGCCTTTCAACTATGCCTAGCAATAAAATACACTGGACTACCCATCAACTGTGGACTCTTACATGCAAAGAATATATACAGACTTATTAACAAGAAAGCATGTAGAAGATTGCTACCTCTGATCTGTCTTTGTCTCCAATACCAAATATATTCCTCTGCCATTTTCTGGCAGGGAAGTCGGAAAATAAAAGGAGTAGAAAATAAATTATGGTTCCTGTCAAGCAGCCACAGAAGACATACCTGCTACTGACAGTTTTTAGCTGCAATCTATATTCAGACTAAAATAGAACATAGTGAAGACAGACAAGCACACATAAATAAATATCGGGGAACATCCCTTGTGCTGAGTTTCTCTCATGGAGTAAATACCAACCTCCTTCACTTAGCAGACAAGCAGCATCTGCTCTAGCTTACTCTGGTAAAAGAAAGAACACAATAATTTTGTTTTAAATTATAGTGCCTGATATAGTCTTTTAAAATGCAGGTTTGTTAAGTTTTCTGTTGCTGTTTTCACTGTATCAGATATCAGGGTCGGATTGGGAAGCTGACAATTCTAATGATATGGTGAACACCGTATCATCTCAAGAAACTACCCCATTTCAGTTGGAATCAGATTGTCTGCTCTGCACACTGAAGGCCATGTACCCAGGGGGCAGGAGATGAAAACCCCTCACAGGATTTAGGGTAAGTCTCAGGGGAAGGTGGGAAGAAAAAAGAGAAAACTATTGTCTGATGACAGTAAAAATGACAAGAGTGTTGCCAAGGTCAAGGCACCTGAACTGTCTATCAACAAGGATACAATCAGTAGTAGGTTTCCCGCTGTCCTGTTCCCTTCTTGGAATCTAAGAAGATACTAATGTATCTCTGCTTAGAATGAGGATGAAAATCTCACTGTGTACATTCCCCTTCTCTTCCTCAGTTATTGTTCACTTCCCACGAGGACCCACAGGATGGCAAGGAGTACAGTCAGGCTTCTCTACATAGACTGAGACAGAGGGAGGCACAACGCCATGGCTGTGGCCTCTACCAACACCTTCTGCTCTCCCTAGGTTTCAACCACCTTCTCTGGTGGTGCAGGGCCTGAGAAAGACACACTCTGAAAGGAAAGGCCAGGAGAGGCAGGAACCCAACTTCAGGGGGAAATGCACCTTAGCCAGTCAGTGTCTTACAGCTTCACTGAAATGGGCTTTTCAAAATTCTGGAGGGGAAAAGTTTGGATTTCTTTGATCTTGAAACAGAAATGTATCTCTGAATTAATTTCTGGTTCTTTCTCAGATGGACTTTAATTAACTCCATGACAGATTCACAGTTATTATTCCAAAAGCCAATCTGAGGATGACAGTTAAATGCTATGGGCAGCTCTTGAAGTTCTGATCTAATGAAGGATATCAGGAGCACAAATAATCAAAAAACAGCATATTATCCTGATATGTCCCTGTAGCACATTTACCTAATACTTACAGATTCATGTCTAGATCAGTAGCCCAGCCACACTGCTGACGGCAAAGGAAGTCAGCCTGGGGTGAATATTTTGCCCTGAATATGCTGTAGATGTTCATGAGGAGATGACAGTAGATGGGAAACAATGAGAAGGAGTCTTTGACTGGAAAATACCTCTGATTTAAGCCTTTCAATTTCAGTATCTTGATCTTCAAGTTGATGTCGGAGTTGGTTAGCTGCAATTTTTTCTGTTTCTACGATCTGGACTAGATGAATGTACTTCTGCATCAAGACTTCCCTCTCAATCAAAATGTCTGCATAACTGCCGAGAAAATTGCACAGTTAGTCATTGAAACATTATTCTTCTATAGAGTTCGATGCAGAACAGCAGACACTAAACAAAGATCCCATGAATCCTGTTTGATTGTAACTCTTTCTTATATAAACATTAACTTTCAGTTTATATTGGTGTCCTTCAATGATATAGATTTTGAATCATTATCATTTTACATACTCTTTACTAAGAATTCATTTAGTGATGCCTGCTACCCACAATTTTATCATGCAGGTGAGAAAAGAGCAAAGGATGTCTGAATCATTTTAAAAAGAAAGTAGTGTGGTTTCTTTAACAAAGAAATGGATATCTTTTGAACTGATGGCACATGCATTTTCAGGATTCCATTCAAAATATTTCACCAGGTAAAGTACTAGTCAATCAAAATAGACCTGCCACCAAGCAGAGTGAATGCAACAACCATCAGAATAGGCACTGGCTGAAAGTACTGTTATGACTGTACTAGTGGCCATCAGATCCATTGGGCTCTCTTTAGAACTACAAGACCATTCACTAGTCTCTTTTTAAAACCAACAGAAGCAACACACATTCTAGAAATAGGCTTAGATTCTTTTGGTCCTAGCTCTAACAGCCTAACCCACATCCATCTCTTTGACTAAGCATTGTTCAAACAAAACTCACTCTTAGATTTTTATTGACAATGCAGTTCTGGAGCATTAGAAATTTTGTCTCCAGACCTTGCATTATTCAGGGTGGTAAAATGCATGTTCCTCTCTTCATATAATCTTTTCAAAAGGGTATAATAATAGTAATAATTAATAATAGTTACTACTTTTGAGTGCAGAGGATGTACCATGTTTTCTCATGTCATCCTCCCAGCATCCCAGGAAATGGGGTTTATGATCCCAATTGCAGAGAAAAAATTTGGTCCTCACTGATCACATATTGGCCTCAAGACACACAGCTAGTAAGTGACAGGGCTAGGATTTAAATCAAGGTTTGTCTGACCAAAGTCCATGCTCTTAAACACAAGCTACCCTCTCTCAGATGAGAAATAGCATCAGATTATCTTGATGTAGCTGCCCAAACTTCCAGCTACTTACTTGTCTTTAGGACTTGAGCCACAGAAGCCATGTTTATGCCACAAAACCTACTTTCATGACCACACTGGACCAGCCTAAAAAGAGAACCGGCCCCAGCTAAATACATTCTTCCTCCTCAGAAGCTGGGATTGTGCCTCTGCCCTGTTTACTTGAACTGAGACACTATGAACTTGGAAACTCCAGTTGCCATAGTCAGGCATCCCTGTTTGGCTACATCCATGTATAACCTGTCAATGTGAGTCTTCTGAGAGAGAAGCAGGTATTCAGAAAAGCAGGCAGAAAGTCTGAGATAGAGAAGGACTGGCTACCTGGGTTCCTGTAGGCTTTCTGATTTCAGGATCAGACTTATAACATCTGAATACAGTTGTACCCTGAGAGTCAGTGAGATATTGCAATTTCCTTCTAATAAATTCCCTACTTAACCTTAACTATGCGAAATATCTTTGTGTTACTTAAAACTAAAAAAGTGTTAAGACAATTCTAAAATCACAATTTTAATTCAATTATCTCAACACCCTCAGCACTTACATCATGCATGCTAATGGTGTTAGAGAGGAACATAGCATCAGCAATATTAAGTCACTTGTTCTAATAACTCTCCCTAAAAGAGTATAAGAAAGTGTGAGTAAGTGAAAGTGTTGGTGGCGGAGGGAGGAGGGACAGAATCTTTATAAAAGGATGCTTTGGGAAAGTTTAAAGGGAGGAAATAATAATAGAGCATAAGAAAAAAATTATCATGATAAAAATTCTGCCCTTTCTCACTGACTTTATTAGAAATATGCCAAAGTAATTATAAGTATATTAGGTCAATGTTAGATAGCAGAATGGTATTTTCTTTTCTTTTTATAAAAATAAAAAGGTAAGTCCAGCCCAGATATGAGATGGAGTTCATTCCAAGCCTCACCAAGACGTGCCTCTTTTCATTTACAAGGTCCTATTAAATTAAACCTAGCTGAGAAAACCATTTTCTGTTTTAAAAAATGAAACCATAAAAGCATTATGGAACAGGAAAGTTTGCCATCAACAGATCAGGCATTATGTAAAATTCCATAACAAGAAAAACTAAACAGAATTAACTTGGTGGTAAAAATGAATCAAAGATGGAGATTTCACACATAAGTATCTCTCTGCACATGAGTGGTCCAGAGAAGCTCCAAGCTCAGAACCAGCCACCACAAAGGATGGCAATAGACATGGGGCGACAGGTGCCTGCAGAGCATCTGGAAGTTAGGCTCCTCTTCTTCACACTCTCCCAAACAAAGGAATAAAGGGCATGGATGGCAGCAATAACATGCCATCAGGTCACAGTACCTAAGCATGAAGTATGCTGGGTTTCTTTTCTATTATGAAACAAATCACCACAAACTTAGGGATTTAAAGCAACGCATATTTATTAGGAAGTATAGCCATGGGATGCATGTTATTTCCAAGACTAGTTCATAAGAAAACTCTGGCTTCCAGATCACTAACCTTCTTTAGCATTCTTTGTTGGCTCCAAGGGAAGCCAGCTGCCAGGTTATGAGCTCCTCTATACAGACGCTTATGATAATTAGAGACCTAGGAGGCCTCTTTCCAACAGCCATCTAGGGACCCAGTACAACAGTAAGGAAGTGAACCTAGCCAACAACCATGGTAGTGAACTTGGAAGCAGAGCCTCCCCCAGTTGAACAACAGACCTGGTCATCACCATGATAGTGACTCGTGAGAAATTTCTGGACAGAGGTATCCAGCTAAGCCATGCCTGAATTCCTGATCCACAGAAATTTGGGGACTACAGCAAGTTGCTTATTGTATTAAGCATTATGGAGGAAACTGTTAAGCAGCAACAGATAACAAATAGAGCCCCAAATGAGCAAACAGAAAAGACACTACAGGAAACAAGGATAATTCAGGCAGCAGAGATTTATTACCTTCAGAGAGATAGGGAAGGATATTAGGGTCATAAAGCAAAAAGAGGCTGCCATGGAAAAGAAGTAATCAGATAACAAGAACAGTTCTTGGAAAACAAAAATAATGACTAAAATTTTATAGGTCAATGGATGCACTGACAATAAACCAGACATGGCTAAAAACTAAGCTAGGTGGTCAGAGAGAGATAAAATAATAATGTAACAGGCTATTTATCTACAGGAAATGAGAAGGAACAAATATTCAGTTGTGCATGATTGCTCATTCTCTGTGGGACCAAACACCGACCTTAAAACTTTGGTACATATTTTTTATACCTCAATGTAAATAGCCTTTACTGTTTTTCTTAATTTTATTTTTAACTTATTAGCATATTATTTATGCATATTAATGGCATACAGTGTGATATGTCAACACATGTGTATAGCACTTACTGATCAAATCAGGGTAACCAACATTCCCTCTCCTTTTCATTTTTGTTTGAAGTCTTTGAGCTCCTCTCTTCTAGATTTTCATAAAATATATAATAGGTTACTGGGGATGATAGTTATCTCACTGTACTTTGGAACACCAGAATTTATTTTTTCCCTCTAACTGTGTTTGGGTACTCATTATCCAACCTCCTTTATTGGTTTTTAGTTTTTAGAATCAACCTATGACAAAACACAGAGGCTTAATCAAATTTAGAGAACAGAATATAAATACTGAAAAGTTTATAAAGTGAGGAAAAATGATAATAAAAGCAATAAAATCTCAGGGTTAGAGGCGAAAAAAAATAATGAAAACACATTTAATGTTTTATTTATTTATCTTTCCTAGTAGAGAGTCAATACATACTGTCTAAAGTTGATAAATCAACAGAGATTAAAATTTTATTATTTTAGGACATAAAGTCAACTAATTTGAGAGCTAAAAATATGTAAATAACAAAAATGGGGCAAATAAAAAGAATGAAATAATGGAATTTGCTGGTAAATGGATGGAAATGGACAAAATCATGCTAAGTGAAATAAGTCAGACTCAAAGAAATCAAAGGTTAAATGTTTTCTCTCATATGTGGAAGCTAGAGCAAAATAAGGGAAAGAAGGAAGTGGGGGGAAAGGATTGGTTATCACAAGGGTAGAGGGAAGATCAGTGGGGTAGAAGATTGTAAGTAATGTTGATTTCCTTCTTTGCATGTTCTTATGAATCCAAATTGAGTTTTTGATTCAATAAATATTTACTGAGTGTTGGTGTGTATTCACTCAGGTGCTCAAAGCACCTGGCACAGGCATAAGCAAAATGACAACAACAACAACTATGGCCTTGCAAAACTTACACAGTAGTAGAACAAGAAAGATAAAAGTAATGAGAAAAATATGCAGGGTGTTACCTGATGATTAGTACAGCAGAGAGAGAGAGATGGATATAGACCCGGAAGTAGGAAGTGGGAAGCAGGAGGTCACAGTTTTAGCCAGGGTGTGAGGACAGGGTCCCATAGAGAAGATGGTGTCTGTGGCCTGCAGGAGTGAGCCACAGTGACTGGGGAAGAACAAGGGAACCCCAAGTGCAGAAGCCTGGCACTAGCAGTGAGCCTGGTGTGGCTGAAGAAGACGAGTAACAGGTTTCCTGGGGAATTCAGTGGGGAGGGTAAAAGAGGAAACAGGATTCTAAAGCATGTAGAGCAATTTAGAATCTCAGGTTTCGGCCCCCACCCCAGGTGAGGTAAGAACTTTGATCAAATGTGTGACACTATTTACCGTTTTAATAAGATAATTTTGGTCGCTGTGATGGGAAAGTCAGGGGGAAGTGAGGCCTAAGGGAAGATGGTAGAACCAGAGACTATGGTAATATCCCCGCAAAAAGGCTAAAAATCAGCCCAGTATCTGGCAGGAGACCTGGCACAGAACTGTTACTCAAATGAAGAGTTTCTGTCAAAACAAAAGTTATCTAACATGATTTATTTTACACAGTTTCTTCTTCTTCATGTAATAATTTTCAAGCCACACAACTTACTTCACTGGGGTTTTCTAGTTA